GCAGCAAGCCAGCTGTAGCTTCATGGCGTAGTGGACAGTCTCAGCGAGCTGCACCTTTACTTCCCCTGAAGTTCAGGCCGGGTTCTGGCCAGGAGGCTGGAACCAGACCCGTTCAGCCTGCAGAGTCAGTGCACCTTCTGTGGGCTTGAACTTACCTGGGAGCTGCTGGGTGAGCCCAGCAGTTGTTCTGAGTTCTGAGCTCAGCCAGCCCCTCCAAGATGGCTCCCAGCCAATCACTGTCTCCCACGGGACGACCGAGCCCTCAGCACTCACCCCCAGCTAGTGCAGTCCTTCACGTCCACTGCTGCATGTCTCCGTGGAGGCCTCTGGGGTCGCCGGCAGTCACCGTGTCAGCAGGTTGGAACCGCTCCTCTCACGCGGTGAGCTCTGACTGGAGAAGGCTGCGCCGGCCCGCTCCTCCTTCAGTGCAGTTTCTCTCTCTGCTCTCCCTCTCAGCTTCAGTTCTCGCTTCAGAGCCTTCCCAGGTCCAGGGGACCCACTTCCCTGCTCGTTTGCCTGGAGTTGCCCTATTCCGGTATCTGGGTGGCAGCTCTCAGGCTCTTTCTCTGCAGCTGACACTCTGCCATCTTCTGTACTGTAGTATGTGCTGGATGTTTGAGACTTGATACATCACCGTAGCCCACAAGTCCTTTATTTTCAACATTTTTGCACCCAGTTTTAGTGTTCATTGGTGATACATTTTTTTGAAGGGAGGATTTTGCTGTGTAGTCCAGGCTGGTCGTAAACTCACTGTGTAGCCCAGGCTGGCCTTGAACTTGCAGTGATCCTCCTGCCTCAGCCTCCCAAGTGCTGGGATTACAGGTGTGCGCTACCATACCTGGCTTTATTGGTGATTCTTGACTGATTTTTCTGTTCTATCATTTCTTCTACATTGTTGATTTTTTGTGTGTGTGAACATGAGCACCCCTTTTAAAACTTGCTTTTACTGCATTTTCTTCATTGAGTATCTAACAGCCCTTGTCGTTATTTCGCTGGTCAGTGGCTGTCCAGACTTGGCTTCTGTGTTTTCTGGCCACACCCTTAGCAGTGTGTGAGCATTTCCTTCCCTTCTGGCCTAAACTGGTTTCCGCGATGGTCTACTGTTTCCCACTTTCCTTTGTTTACTTTCAGGTATGTTCTATGAGTACAAAGGCATTATCTATTTTATTTTCACCTAAATGGTGCCATACCTTCCAAGTGTGACTTACAGCTTAGAGATTGTTCTCCACCTCATTTTTCTGCAGTGTATTCCATTTGATGAATGCTTTATCATTTTATTTAACTCATCTTTTGATGAGTATATGTGTATTTGTTTTTGTTTTTTTGAGACAGGGTCTTGCAGTGTAATTCAGGCTGGTTTTGAACTTAGAGTAATCGTCCTGCCTCTTCCTCCCAAGTGCTGGGATTACAGGTGTGTGTCACCATTCCCGGCTACTTCCTAAAGTTGCTGCTTGCAAGCTGTCCAGGCTTGGGGTCTACAGAAGGAGGGCAGGCCCTCGGCTCTTGTACTCAGACCATGGTGTGTAGGGCTGGAATGTAGACAGCATCTCTGGGCACTGTGGGGGTAGTTCTGATGTGCTAGAAACACTGAGAAAGTTTGTGAACAGGCAGACAGATACTTTTGCAGGTTAGAACCAGTTTCTCATTTGCTTATGTCTGTAAAAATAAGAAGTAGACATGAAATTGGCACGGAGTCTGTTTTAAAGGTAAGCAAGACTGACCATGGGAACCTGAACCAGCCCTCCCTGTACTTGGATGCATTTCTCATACGTATTTCCTCATCTTTAGTGGTGATCAACGTTTGTTTTGATCAAATGTGAATTAGTAGTAATTGTAATACAACCCAGAATAAAAGTATCTTTAACCCTTAAAGGTTTATGGTCAAGGAAATGTAATTAAATTTGAATTGCACATTATTACAGAGAATTACGTATGACCAGAGTTTCAGGCCTACAGTCACATTAGGGTTAGCTTGCGGTGGGGTGAGATTGTAGATGTGAGAGGGAAATTGCAATAGAATCCTTAAGGAGAGAGTCTGAACGTCCGCTCAGGCGCCTGAGTCATTTGACCCTCATTTATCCCTTGTGTTTGGAGGTGGATCTTCTGGTGGGTAAACAGGGTTGAGGGGACCCCGGGTGGGACTTGCCCGAGTGGGCTGTGGCTCGGAGGAGGCGGGGGAGGCCTGTCGCCGGTTCCTGGGCGTCTGTCTGTATTCTCCGGCAGTAGGACCGGCGTGCCAGATGTGGCTGCCCCACCTTGAACTGCTCGCCCTTCAGCACGGAGCTGAGTAAGGCTTTATTCTTTCACTTACTTTTGTGTGTGGCGCTTGGTGTGGACCCCAGGCGCTTGCACATGCTGGGCGGGTGCTGTGCCCCTCAGCCACGCCTCAGCCCTGCTGCCTTCCTAGAAATGATCCCTCCTCGGTGGTCAGAGGGAGCAGCAGAGAGTGGGCAAAGGCAAGGCGGCATTTGGGTTTCCGGCTGGACAAACGAACGTGGGTGTCGGCCGCAGGGGTGGTTACATCCCACCAGATGCATTTCTCAGAGTGCTTGAATAGCTTAGCCAGTATTTACAGCACAACAGATTATACTGCTCGCGACCCTTTAAGCTAACAGTGAACACTTTAGATACTAAGCTCAAATAAGCGAGGCGGCACACACGTGCGGT